AGGAATTTGCACTGTTAAGTTTTTATATAACTTTAATGCACATAAAAAAAAAAAAAACAGCTGCTTGTTTAAGTGAAAATACTTTGATGGGTTTTTTTGCACAAATAAAGTTGTGGAGTTGTAAAGTATTTTGTCTAGTGTCAATTATATCGTCAGTTACATCGTTATCGCAAATTTTCAAATGTATATCATGATAAATATTTTCGGTCATATCGCCCTGCTCTAAACGACAGTATTGTGCATTTACGGCAGTTACACTTGTTTCTTGGTTGTTGTTTTTTTATAGATTTTTTTTTTTTGGACAGGACAGGAGAGAAGCTTGGAGAAAGACATAACTCAAAAGCGGGCCTCAGCATTAACCTTATAGCATATGCATCACCGTTGCTCAACCCAGTGAGTCAAACCAGCGCCCCACACTCAGATCTATTTAATCATTGTGTGTGTTGCTTTGAAAATGGAAACAGCACAGCTGTGCAGTAATTACAGTGCTCAACTACAGGCTGGCCTACTGACTCATCTGGCTGAAATCCACACCACCTGACCAAAACACTGAATTCAGATCCAGTGTGGAAACCTTATCAAATGTCAATACTGTGTTTTTAACCGAGAACAATATCCTAGAGTGCATTTTGATGCTTGTAAATACTCCACAGCACACCTCTCGACTCTGTGTTTGTGTGACGCAGTGTTTCATCCTAAATTTTCAACTCCAGTGACTTTTTTTGACACGTCACCACTTCCTCTACAGGTATTATCGCAAGTTTGGTTGGTTTAACAAACAAAAAAACAGCCCATGCTATTTGACACACAGCTGGTAATGTCAACAGGGCAAAGAGTTAAAGACAGTGAGCAAATCATAATCAGCCTCAGGGCTTTTTCCACACACAGGTGCTAATGTGTACAAAGACTAGCTGAGAGCGACAGGGAATCTTCTGGACTTGAGCTGATGGATATCAAGATGCAGAGGCTTTTAGAAATACAGGATATCCATTAGACAACACAGAAACAGAAAGCCGTTAGATGTGGGGCCTGATAGCAGAGCTACACAACTGAACAGTCCCATAGTGCCTATATCATCCAAAAAACACTTTTAGTCTGCATCTACTAACATGAAATTTGTTTTTCTGACTCTTTTTGTCCTAAATTGTATGTTTCACACCTTTCCTGCCATCTATGCTAAAACAACATATAATTAAGCTAAAGGGCAATTCTGATTTTTGTTTTAGAGACTTTCTTTAAAACTATGACTTTCAGCAGTTACATACATGCAAACAATACAAATTAAATACCCACCTTTAGGACCCACAACCAACCCAACAACACGATATGGTACCCGCACCTGTACAGTTAAAACGATAAAGGTTAGCTACACACACTTTAAAATACAAAACACAACAGAGAGCCTTATTTATACAATAATTTTGCCTACATACTGACACTAATAACACAGAGTCATCCTAACGGTTGTTCTCAACCCCTGAATGACTTCTTTTTTTTTTTTTCATTTAAAGTCAAGCTTGCTGACCTGAATGGTAGTCCGTCCAGGTAAAGCCGGAGTCCCGAGGCTGGCTCCTGCAGTAAGAGGGCCGGTCCTGTTCCGAGAGGCTCTGATAAGGGAAAAGTGCTCAGCCGCAGACATGATCTCCCTTTTAGCCATGGCCACATCTTCTTTACGCCCCGTCACAACAAAGACTGGCTGTTCCCCCCTCACTGGTGTCTTAATGTAGGTGTTGGTCTTGGCTCGAAGTGCCTTGATCTTACAGCCTGTCACATGGGCAAGTTAAAAAACACATAAGGGAACCACATTAACCTCCACAGATTCAACATTGAACTCTTGAAACTCTGCATCTCCTAATAAACTAATGAACTAATAAAAGATCATGACACAAGCACTACAGCACAGGTCTCCAGTCATTAATGCCACATAAAAGTTGCATAGCTTATAAATTAAATATTCCATTCAGCAGTGGTTGAGAGTCCAGCATCATTACCAGAGCCATTTCCTGTTGTTGTCAACACCGCAGTCTGTGCACCATCCCCCAACTTACTCTCAAACATAATCACACTGCCCCACTAACCGAGTCCAGCCATCTATGTAAAGTTTAGATAAAACAAAGACCACATATAAGGGTCTAAGAACAGCGAGGGGATGTTTAGCTGAAATCATATCGGTTATGTCACGGAGCTAACTATAACCTGCAGCTGATGTGGCAAAAGAATGGTGCCCTCTCCTCCGAGACAAAGCCCAGGCTGGTTTAGCTCAGCAAAACACGGCTACGGGGAGGCTCACTGACAGCATACCCGTGATATAGGCGAGCTACTGCACCGAGGCCACAGAGTGGGTTCCGGAGACCAATAAAACTTTAGCTGTAAACTTTTTTCAGGGTGTTGGGCGAGGGTGTTATTGTTGACCCAGTTTGAAGGGGGAGGAATGCTAAGCTAGTAGCTGACTATGCCACTTTTCTTCGCGACGATTTTTTTTAAAGCTATAACTTAGTTTTATCTCGTTGCTTTTCTGTTCCACGCCTTTAATTAATTAGAAGATAAACTCGCGATTCTTCAAGTTTCTTTATTTTGTCCCTTAATTCGGTCCTGCCTAACTCTCCCCACAAAGTTTAGTCTAAACTCCGTTAGCACCTTAACGTTAGCTCCACAAGCAGTCAAAAAGAAAGCGACTCACCCTGCCTGCCAACGATCTCCGCGACGTGCTCCGAGCTCGGTACGGCCACACACTCGGTTGTGTTTACGCTCTTACGCCGGTTCAACAGTGATGTCTCGGCCTCTCCGTAATCCGGCTCCCCGAACCCGCCGGACGGTAGCATCGTCATGCTGTTAGCCGGCGGGAGAGCGCCGCCGACCGCAGGATCGTCCCGCTCGTCTCCGTTGTACAGCAACACAGTCTCGATGTGCTCCATCCCGGAGCTAGCCGGCCCAGAAAGGAGGTGTTGGTTGCGGTGGTGGGCCTGCGTTAGCAACGAGGAATCGGTTGCAACTAATGGCTCCTCCTCGTCCTCAGCCGCTGCCGTTTTGTTAATTTCGTCTCCCGAGGGCGGACGAGGCAGTGGCAAGGGCTTCAAGTCGAGGACCGTACCGAGGAGGCTGAAATGGGAGACCGAGGAGAGCGGGAGGTGGTGAAAGGGGAGGCTCTCGTCAGCTAGTTCGGGCGTCTGGCTATGAGCGCCGTGCTGCTCGTCAAGGCCCATACCGGCGAAAGCGTGCAGGAGCGGCGGTGGGACCTCGGACTCTCCCTCATCGGCCTCCAGCAAAGACGTACTACTCGGCATGATGCAAGCCTTTTACTGATATTGCCGGTAATCGTTATGAATAATGAATGAAATTTGTTTGATTACAAAAAATAAAAATAAAAAAGCGACCAGCGCCTGTTCGTTGAAATGTGTGGCTTTGTTTTGTCTTTACGGCGCTCCTCTTCTCTTCTTTATTGAGGCGCATTTACAGCTGGCTTTCGATTATTTGGCGCATTACTGCCCCAAGTGGTATGGAGTGAGCGTCGAGCCAATCATTTCAACGTTCAGAAAGGGGGGGGG